CAAAAATCTCCGAATCTGTAAGCTGGAAGGAAGCCCAGAGGCCCAGGGATCTACTCCAACCAATAAATGAAGTGAATGTTAGAGGGTTGGACTTGGAGCCAGTCTGGATTCGAATTCTGTTTTAGATGTAAGCTACGAGACCCAGGATAAGCATTAAACCCCTGGGGCCCTCCTATGAGAGGGTTGGACTACAAGACCTCTAAGGTCCCTCTTAGTTTTAATTCTAAGATCTCAAGAACCTCCTCTTCAACATATCTGACAAGGGATCAGTCAACCAGCTTTTCTTTAAAGACCTCCCAGTGAGGCAGATCCCACCACCTCTCCAAACAGGCACTTTCTCCTCAGGACAGACCTAATCGTTAACAAGTTTTTGGCTTACATTGAGTCAGTTTGCTTCTTTACAATTTAATCCATCCACTGCTCCTCAATCGTACAAGAGCCTTAGTCAGGGCTGGACTGAAAGAGGTGAAGGCATTGAGAAGTCCAGAAAATCCTCATAATCTGCATCTCACCCTGCCCTTCCCCCACCCCCAAAAAAAGACTATTTATCTTTTCACCATATTTTGGAGTATGTGTTGGAAGTCAGACTGTTCAGTGTAGAGACTGTTGGACTCGGAAATGGGAAGATAGGGGTTCAGATCCCCGATCTGACACTACTTGTGTGGCCAAGGAGAAGTCATTCAACCTTTTTAAGCCTGGGGTTCGTCATCTGTAGAATGGTAGGGCTGGTCTCTAACTTCCCCTTTAGCTTTAAATCTATGCTTCTTTGATCATTGTTTTAGTAGAGCAGAGATTCCTAATCTGGGATCCATGAACTTGTTTTTTAAAAAATATTTTGATAACTATTTCAATATAACTGGTTTCCTTTGTAATCCTATGTACTTTATTTTATGTATTTAAAAACATTATTCTAGGGGGCAGCTAGGTGGCGCAGAGGATAGAGCACTGGCCCTGATGTCAGGAGGACCTGAGTTCAAATTCGACCTCAGACCAAACACTTGACACTTACTAGCTGTGTGACCCTGGGCAAGTTACTTAACCCCAATTGTCTAAAAAAAAAATTATGCTAAAAAAAGTAAAATAAATTAAAAAATTATTCTGAAAAGAGATGTTACCAAACTGCCAAAAGGCACAAAGCACTGAAGCACAAAGTACTCTTGCCCCGAGGAAATGCTCAGCGGGGGCCAAAATTTTTCTTGTTAAAACTTTCTCTAAAACAGAAAACAAATGTGGGAGGATTTATTATGAGACTGGAAAGCTAATACTAGTTAACATTCATTTGGCATACCTACAGGGTTTGGACAAAGACAGGACTCTGTCTACAATGGGTACCTCCTTTCTTGGGAGGCCAGAGATAGCAACTCTGGCTCTGGTTGACTGCCTTCCACCTTGGGAACTACACAGATAACCACACCAGAGCACCTATGAAACCTAGATCCATGAAGTTACTACCAGGCTCCTTAGTAAACCGTCTTCTCTCTTCAGGATATTCATAAATTATGAGCCACAGCCTCCAACATAGGAAGCAGCAGGAGACAAAAGCCAGCATGTACTTTCAGCATTTTCAGGCAATATTCTTCGTTCATACTGTCACTAAACTCTTAAGTCAGATCTGCTTCTGTCCCGAACATGAGAAGGCATTTCTGACTGAACACTGACCTCCAGTGTCTGTCTACAGAAATAGACGCTTCAGATCACAAAAGAATTACTCTTCACCTGAAGAGTTCCTTGATATTCATATACTGACTAACCATTTTTCTATGCAATTCAGTTCTGTAGTGTGGTTGCTTCAGATGCTGGACTTCAGCTCTCCTGGCCTTTCTCAACAGATCACCCCGAATTGGGCTTTGGTTCTCAGAAATAACCATCATTTGAGTGCTTCCAGAGGGGGTTTTCTTTCTTTCCTTCTTAAGCACTCACTTTTTGGTACCTTATTGTTGTTCATCCTTCATTCTAAAGAGGATCGGTGACATCAGGAAGGTGATGTCTTGACTTGCAAGTAAATTGGATTTAAGTGAGGCAATGCTGTGCAAAGTCATCAGCCTCACAGCTGCCTTCAAAGACCACCACCAACAAAGAGCAATTGTTTCTATTCAGGCCAGAACTGTGAGGGTCGTCCCCTCCCAGACTGACTCATTTGTGAAGGCAAGCTAGGCCACCTTTTGCCTCCATTCTTACAAGTTCTTGGATCCCAGATTAGGAATCTCTGCTCTACTAAAACAATGATCAAAGAAGTCTTTAATTACTGATTGGGTGTTGCCTCACACAAACTGAGACCTGGGAAAGACATTAGCTTGAAGAGGCCAAGGTCTCCTGAGTCTCCCATTACCAGTCGTCTTGACCTGTGTCTTGCTACTTATAATATAAGGGGAAGGGAGGAAGAGGCTTGCCAATGTGTCATATGTCTTTGGATAGAAGGGACATGTAGAGCAGGGATCCCCCTTCTAATTTTCTTTTTGATTGGTGGTTTCTTTTCACCTCCCCAAAGTCTACAGGTCTTTTAAAGATGGACTGATACTACCTGTGTTCCAGTTCCTCCTGGGGAGAGGCTACAGGTGATAGTGACAGCAACGGACAACATGGAAGGTAATATTACTTCTTAAAACATTTTTTAAAATACACATTCTCATTTGATCCTCACAACCAGTCAACCAGTCACAACCTCACAACAACTGGGAGGTGGGTGCCAGTATTACCAGTGTATAAACGACCTCACCATGGGTCAAAAATCTCCCATGTGGACAACTTAGTGCTCTAAGAGTCTGTTCCTCTGCTTCCCAATACAGCTGTGCTTCATTCATCCCCAAAATCCACCCCTAGCTTTAATTCTAAAGACTCACCCATTAAACCAGTTTAGTATTGTTTAGTTAATTTGAAAGGTAGGGGCCACTCTTGAAAATCAGAAAGAGGAAGCAGAGGGGAAGAGGATACCATTCCCCTCAGTCACCACACTTGGGTGGACATACCAAGGGAAGGAAGACTCATCTCGTGATAGATTCCCTAACTCACACGGATGTCTTTTCCAGCCTGTCAGTTCAAACATTCTTTTTAAAGAAGCTTTTATCACAGCTCTCCTACAAGATGGACAACGAATTCTGCAAGGGATCAACCCCTTTAAAGAACCACCGCTGCTCACTGGAGGATGTTAGCCAATGTTTACTAGCAGACAGTTTTGATCTCATTGAAGGTGCATGAAAAAAGCTTTGATGAGATTGTCACCAAGCTGCGGGGGCTTGTGCATAAAATTACAAAGAATCAGCTTAATAATAATGCACTAAGGTTCTCTATCCCTCCAATATTCTTGAAAACAAGAAGCATTATGAACTTTGCTTTTGGGACATGAAGTTCAGGTTTTAATTGTTTTAACGACTGACCATGAATGGGCAAATTTATTTTTCATCTTTGGGGAAATCCTGAAGCAGAGCAGATCATTATATCCTCTGTGTGGTAATTCTCTAGGAAGAAACCTTAATCTTAGGGAGCGGCCACAAGTGCAGAGAGGTTAAACGGCTTACCCAGGGTCACACGGCTAATGTCAGAGATAAGACTTGAACCTCGGTCCTTCTGATCCTGAAGTCCAGCTTTCTATCCACTATATTATACCACTCAGCAGTTTTAGGTGCCATTAAGTGAAACCAAGTATTAAACCCTATTTTGGGAATCTGAAAGTACCTTACAGTGACACAAGGGAGAAGCAACTATATTGCATGATCATACTAGTGTGACTAAGGTTGACAACTTGAGTCTCACACGGGGGTTTCATCACAAGTTTCCATGCTTCAGTTTCTTGGTCTATAAATTATAAACTATAATCCTAGTGATAGATATAGTCGTGAAATGAAATGTAAATGCTTAATAATTTATTAAGAATGTTGTTTCTTATCCAATTGTCAGCATTTTGTCACATGCATAGCATAATTGAGATTTCAAAAAAGTCCTTCACATCATCCTGAAATGTACTAGGTTACTAAGCACTCTGCCCCAGGCTATGGAATTTCTTCAGACCACGTGGCAACTTGTTGAGCTGCCATGAAAAATTTATATTTTAAAAGCTACTTTCCTTACTTTTTTTGTCACCTCACATCAGATATGTGAATGACTACTTTCTTTACCATTTTCTCTTAGCGCATTTACGTTGAACCTATTATGCTAAAGTGTTTCCTCACAGTTCCTAGGTCTGAGTCAATGGGGGGTTGGGATAAGGCAGATCATTGTTTGTATTCCAAGACTAAGCCTGATTCAGAGACAGAGCTATCATGTCTGTTTATTCAGTATTCTTATTCTGCAGAAGTTACTGTTGCACTCTTTTGAAAGATCCATTAAAATTCTTTCCTTACCCATAACCTCTTTTCAGCACCTAGTCCATAATCTTTCAGAAAAAAAAAAGTTTCTCAGTCTGTACGAACATGTGTGAAGTGTGATTTTCTTGGCTATTTGGAGAGCATGACTTCATAAGAGAGCTTTACCATACAAAGTCAAACCACTCAAAGGAGGATGTGACTTCATCCTACACAACTATGAGCATTACAAAGTAGATGTTTCCAAAGAAAGAGAATGGTCTTAGTGATTTTTCATGCTTGTGGGCCACTCCTTTCTCCTAGAACAGAGGGAACCCACAGCAAGTTTTCCTGCCATATTAAAGACTTTAAAAGGTTAGAAAAAAAGATGACTAAATTAGCCTTCTGTAAACAGTCTTTTACCAAGTGTGGAGAGAAAGATGATTTCGATTCTTAAATTTTGCCAAAACAACTCTGTCATCACAGGAAGAGACTGGATAACCAAAGAGCGTTCTTGTTTCTCTGTGTCTGATGTCCTTCTTGGAATGTTGTGGTTTAAATTCCCCTCGTAGCACAGTGAGAGTCACTTCTGCACCTACATAGCACTGTTGGTGGGGCAACCACAGTGATGTGAGAGATGAGAGGAATGGCCCATGGGACAGCTGTGTACCAAGTGAGGAAGAAGGAAGTTGGTAACAGCCAAATCATACACCTTCAACACAATGGGGGGAAACGAATTTGCTTTTAATGACAGGCAAAAGAAACATTATCAAACATAACACTGAATACAACTGCCCCCACCCTCACATCTCACATGAAGGACTAAAGGACTTTATCAACTATTCTAGAGTAAACTGAGGAAGCTTCTGGAGTAGAATTAGAGGGAAGGAAGAGAGAAACAATGATCATTCCATTTCAATCCACAAAAATCTTTCATTTCTCATCCATGTATTTTAAAAGAATGGTTAGAATAAATCCTTATGAACATAGCAAGGTATTCAAAATGCTGCTGAGGTTGGTGAGTCTCTTGCAGGTCAAGATGCTTCCCTATCCTTCCTCCCCCACACCCTTACTCCAAGCAATCAACCTACCCATTTCTCTGGCAGCTCCCTCTGCCAGACTATCAAAGACATTAAAGGGGGTAGACAGACAGAACTAGAAGAGACTGAGGGACAAGGAAAAATTAATTCTTGATTTCTTGAAGCAATGGGACCTAAACAAAGGATTTTGCTCTTTCCTATTCTAATTTTGGCTGATTCCTATACAGTTGTACAAGTCTTCTTTATATAACTTCGTTCACATTGCCCAGGAAGTAGAATTTTTTTGTGTGTTGATTTCCCCAAAATTGGCATGACACTCTGGTAAGGCAAAACAGAGTCGAGGCTGAAAACTATTCCTTTGAAAATGGGACAAATTCCTTTTGTTAACAAAAGTTTCTCTTCCCTCAAAAGGGTAAAGAAAAAAAGGTTTTAGTTTGTTTTTTTTTTTAGAGGAAGGGATTCATCTGGGCTCTCCTCCCATGATTCACAGGGTTCATGCTTCAGTTAGGAACCCACTTGGGTAAGCTAAAGCCTCAAAAGCCACCCCCTAAGCTCAAACTAAATGAAGAGGCTTTTAAGACCTGAAGGAAGACATGGAAGATGAAACAAAGGGGGAAAACTTCCCCTAGTATTCTGACTGAATTCCTTGTGATAAGTGGTCAGACCTATTATTGAAAATTAATAGGTATAGATTTTGTACACATATACACACAAAAAAAAGTTGCCGTGTGTGAGCTCATTCACCTATAGGAAATTCCCCTCCCATGTCCCCTAGAAGCAAAGGAATGAGTTCCTATCCTGCCGACAACCGTTGGCAAACTCAATGTTTACATAAAACACCAGCCTCTCAAAGAGAGAGAATCTCTCTTTTCTACAGCTAAAAGTCAGGCCTCCAAAGATATAGGAAGCACACATTCCTAACTTGTCAGAATGCTCAACCTCATGCTTCTAGAAAATCACTCTTAAAAAATATCACCACCACAAAGCTACCTTTGAGTACATATGTAGATTTCTTGTCAAGGCTGTTGTGACTTCTTAAATCTTTTTCTTTCTTTTTTTAGTCAATTGAGATTAAACGACTTGTCTAGGGTCACATAGCTAGTAAGTATCTAAGCCTTATTTGAACCCGGGTCCTCCTGACTTCGGGACTTGGTGGTCTATCCACCGCTCCACCTAGCTACCCCGGTGACTTATTAAATCTTCACCAAATTTATGCAGATTTCACTTCCATATAGTTTCATGTAATGGAATATTGCCTCTTTGAGAGCTTACAAAGTGATTTGAACTGGTAGACCTCCAAAACGCCTACAGATGTAACCTAGCCCTAAGATAATGTTTATCCTCAAAAATCCCATATAGAAGGTTCACATCTATCAAGAGGCTCATGCCTCTCCTCACTGAGCAAATTACCTATTCTGGAAACAACTACTATGATATGCTTGGATTTCAAAGGTCAACTTCATAGGGTCAATGGTGAACTCACTATTTAAAAATTACTTTCAAAAAGTACCCAGTAACTAAATCGCTGCCTCAATAGATAAAATTCAGAAAACTGGCTGCAAGTAATATCATGTCTGAGGCCCTACAAGCACAGATAAGGAGAAGAAAAAAAAAAAAGAAACAGAAAAAGGAAAGGAAACTCCCCCTCTCCCCCCTTGTACTGGGCTATGTACTGCAATAGTCAGTTAGCTTAGCTAGTGTTACATAACTGAGACACAACTTATATTTTTCTCTTGACTGCAAACATATTCGCCATATTGTCTTCACAGTCTTTAAAATTTAGCCTGTTAAACAGAACAATCTGTAGTGCCCAGACACTGAACTGAGCCCCGTTCTCTTCCAGTGTTTCAGGAACGGTGTTAAGCCTAACGGAGTAGATCACAGAAAGGCACAAACAACTGCTTTTCGCTGAATGTTACGTTTGGGGTGTTTGTCTAGAAGGGGAAAGCCCATATGCTATGTGATTTTTCGAGCTAAGCTATTCTGATGACAAATGTTTTTATTCCAATCTTCTAGATCCCAAGAACCCAGGGAAGGGAGGGAAAAATAATCAGAGCATGAACTATTCTAGTTCTTTGTGCTCTGAAGAATCCAGTGGCCAAAGGGAATTCTACCAAACAAAGAAAACTTCTGGACCGAACATTAAACCTAGAGGGCACAATTTTATGAGGTGAAAAAATACTTTTCCTTGTCAATGAGCCACTGGTCTTAAATAAATCAGAGCACCCATTCTTTTATGGAGAAGGGGAATAGAATCTACTAATAAATAATTTTTAGGTACAAGGCATTATCTAATACCCCATAGTGCAATCTCAGACACAGCTTAGTGCATGGGAAAGTGAATTATGCCATATGTGAAAGGAAGGAGGCACAAAGTTCCCATAAAACACTGTATCAGAACCTCTTAACCTCACTTCAAAAGTCACACCCACCACTACCCTATGACAGGTCTTTGTCAATACTCAAGGCCTCACCCATTGGCCAGCTAGCATTGGGAACATCAAACGGGATCTAATGGGGAGACCAAATCCATATTAGCAGGTCTAAAACCAGATGTGTTGAACACACACCTGGAGTAAAAGAGGTTAGGACCCCCTACGTACACTGCACCATACAGCCTGCCCACTCAATGCTAAATTTTGGTTTCATTCAATTTCATACACAAAAAGAATACAGATTAGTATCCACAACACACCATGTAACATTGCCATAACTTCTATATACAGTCGGTAGACAGCCCAGAGCCAGAATTTTATTTCCCTGCTTTCTTCACTTTTCCTTGGTCATCCACCTTCCTGATAGCTGCTTGGATGGCTTCTTGGTCACCCAGGAACTGATGAGGGCCAACAGCATGGAGGTTTTCGTCCAGTTCCAAGAGGATGGGGATGCCAGTAGGGAGGGTGATGTTGATAATGTCATCATCCGAGATGCCTGCAGAACAGGGAGAAGGGAGCAAGGAAGAAATACTTTTAAAAAAATAGGCAGATGGGTCTTTTTTTTTAAATAATAAAGTAACACAATAACCCCATTTAATAAGCATTAAATTCTTATTCTTATTCTGCACATATTCATAATTTAGGGATCACAGGGGCATGAATAAAATATAAATTTGTCCCTGCCCTGCCCACAAAGATTTTGACAGAGCTGAAGACTAAACACAAGAGAAAACAAAATCACGCTTACTCTCTCAAGTTCTGAGTTTTATGAGGGTAAACAACATTTTGTTAATCTGTTCCTGCTCAGAATGCTTTGGAAAAAGCATGGGGAAAAGAGACAAGTAGAATAGCTTTGAAAGTTACAATTGGATTTCATCTCTATTTTGCAAGGAAAAGCAAGCTATATGCAGTAGAGATTCAGTTTCATGTACCATCTTCTCTTTCTATATAGAAATGCTCATTTGTGTATGTATGTTTTGTTATTAAGTTAAAAAATACAATTTAATTTTTTTTTAAGAAAGAGCTCAAAATTTGGAGTTGGAAGACCAAGTTTCTGATCCTATTTCTGTCTTTTGTGACCTTAATAAGTTACTTCACCCTTCAGATTACACGGTGTCTCTTCTGTAAAATAAAGGGGCTGGGTTCTCTTTACTCTCTCTACATCTAGGATCTTAGGGTGTTTGGTCTTTCTACACACGTTTGTGGAGACTATGTTTTCTTCAGAAAGCCTTCATCCTCCTCTTTAGAAATCTGAAGGCCAGAGGCCTCTTCTCTCACTTCCTTTTTCTTCTATATATAGTAAGGCATTTAAAAAAAAAACTATCACAGTCAAACACTGCCCTAGTTCTCTGGAGGTATTACTAAAATTAGATCTCTTCCTCTAATGTCTCTACAAGCCAGGCTCATTTGGTAGGAATGTGGCTGGCATTTCCAACACCAATCAGGCCTGGAGCACTCTGGGCCAGACCCTGCCAAGCATAAGCTTTCCTCCCTGGGTTCACAGCAGCTGTTTCAGGTGAGTCACCTTTACATCTGGGTACTAGGGTGCCTCTGCACACAGTAGAACAAGAAAGTATGGTGGACGATGGAGGAAAGTTTACAAGTAGAAAGCAGCATAAACATTCATGCTTTAACACAGAAAATAGTTATTTAATAACTTCTATGCTTTAACATAGAAAATAGTTATTTAATAAAGGAATTCAAAAGTCTATACAACAAGCACTTATTAAGTGCTTACTATGTGCCCAGAACTGAAAAAAAAGTACAAAAGCAAAACTGTTCCTGCCTTCGTGGAGTTTCTAGTCTAACAAGGGAGATATAATTCACACCTCTAACTAAATAGAAGACATATCTATAGGTATATAGATATATCTTCTATTATATATTATTCTATTTTTAAAATTTTTATTATATATTATTCTATTATATCTTCTATTATTACATAATCCAGGGTAAACCATAACCTCTCAGCCTCGGTTTCCTCATCTCTTAAACAGGAATAATAATAGTACATTACCTCAGCATTATTTTAAGGATCAAAGGAGGTAATATGTGCATATCACTTGGAAAACTTTAAAGCGCTAAGTAAATATTAGCTATTGTTGTATGATCATGACTAGTTAGTGGAAACAAATGGTAGAATTTGAATTGGAAGAGACCTAGGTATCAATCTAGTCCAAACAATACCAGAAACGGTAGACTGCAGTATCCCTGCTACTCCCCAAATTCTCAAGTTTACAAAGAACATGGCCAGAGAAAACAGGTGCCAAACATTGACTCCCAAATTGAAATAAGAGTGAGAACCAGCCCATCTACAAAAGGTGTCATTTATGAAGGTCTCAGAGATCTCCAAAGACAAGCCAGAACACATGCACCAATCAGACCCAAGGGAGGCCAAATTCCCTCTTTAGGTGGAGAAGCAGGAAGAGGGCTACAACAGCTAGTCCGATTGGTATAAAGAAAAGTATAAAATTGCTAACGAAGACCTGGACCCTAATTCTGCCCACGGCTCTTACTAGTTATGTGGCTTTGGGCAAATCACTTCACCTCATTTGGACTTAGTGTGCTCGTCCATAAAATGAAGGGGTGGGATTATGTGACCTCTGGGCTCCCTTCAGGCCTAGGTTTATGATCCCTGCATCCTTCCCTGTGCCCTAAAATTCCAGGTCCAGAATTTAGGAACCCTTCCAATTAGAGAAGTCCTGCAATCCTTTTGCTTTGTTTTTGTTCAGTCATTGCTTCAGTCACTCTTCGTGACCCCATTTGAGGTTTTCTTGGCAAAGATACTAGAGTGGTTTGCCATTTCCTTCTCCAGTTCATTTTACAGATGAGGAAACTGAGGCAAGCAGGATTTAGTGACCTGCCCAGGGTCTTGTTATCCCACTACAAACCAAAGGGGAAAGGAGGGAGAGACAGAATATGCATAAGAGCATTAAACTGGGTGACTAGACACCCAGATCTCTGTGACATGACTATGTAAACTCTGAGACTGGCTGTCCCAGATCTATCCTGACAGGGCCAAAGCAGCTGCCGCATGGATCCTCTTACTGACAGCTAGCTGGTTAAGTCCGCTCACTCATGTTACCTTGAGAATTCAAGGACTCACTTACTCATTCAATCCCAAGTATTTACTGAATTCCAATTAAGTGAATTTTACTGTGAGATATACAAAGAAGTCCCCACTATTAGCAAGCTGTGTGGCCCCGGGTGATAATAGTAACAACAACCAACATTTATATAGTACTTACTACGTGCCAGGCACTGTGCTAAGTGTTCTACAATTATTATCTCATTTGATCCTCACAACAACCCTGGGAAGTAGGTGCTAGTATTATCCCCATTTTACAGATGAGAAAACTAAGGAAAACAAAGGCAAACTTTGTTTAGAACTCAGGTCTTCCTAACTCCAAGCCTGGTGGCTCTATCCACTGTGGCATTACCTAGCTTGGGCTACAGTTTTTTCATCACATAATAAATGTGCCTTTATTCTCTCTGAGGAACTATCCTTCATCCATCCAACAAGTATTTGTTAACCATAGGACATGGTCCTTACCCTGAAGAAGCTCAGAGTCTATTATTTAATTTTATTTCCCCCAACAGGGAAAAAAATTTTTTTTCAAAAAACACAAGGTTAAGTTCAGAGGTGGGAAGAGAGGACAATGCCGTCAGTCAGACCCAGGAAGTGCCAGTTCTAACTCATAATTATTCTTCAGGTTGGGTGAGATCTGGGGGGGGTTCTCTCTCCTGCAAGGCAGCTCAGAACTCTCTGGGAGCTTTGGAATAAGCCTCCCCTTGAGAATTAGCCCCTAAGCAGAACATTTGACAGTTTCCAGGAACTCCAGGGCTATTCTAGGCTTATGTGGATGTCCCCCAACAAAAGCTGAAATCAAAACAAAACCAAAAAGCCTACACCAAACTGAAAGTCTGGCCCAGAAAAGACCAGAGCTGTTAGGTATCTGAAGTGCTCTTGTTTATGCTTCATTAGCAGGTACTTTCCTGTTGAAGCTTGCCAGGACCTACCAACAAGCATTTGTATTTCTTGAGGAGATGCTCTCTTGTATTTAACATATGCCAGGGGCTATGATGACTGATGTTGGCCTCTTCCGTTTACAATACCCACCTCCCCAAAGCAGCTTTAACTGAAAATAAGAATTTATAGTCCAACATGTTCCACTAGACCTATACCCACCCCTAAAGTTACTAAAATATATAAAACACACACACACACACACACACACACACACACACACAGAGTGGGTAAGAAGAAAGGGATTGTCAGCCCCTAGGAGACAAATTTTCTTAAAGAGAAGAGAATTGATGTCCAAATGAATTTCTTCAATCACCTGAAGCTTTTTTTTTTTAATCACCTGATCTTTTCCTACTGGTTCATTTCATCCATTTCCAAGAAAACTTTTGTGTGTCCAACTCAACCAAGCCTCTGGTCTCTCCCCATTCCATTATACAATGCACACCAATAAAAAACTAAACCTTCCAAAGCTTCTCATCCTGTCACCCTTTTATTAAAAAAAAACCAAACCAAAAAAAACCCAAAAATAACCTTCAGGGGCTTCCCATTACCAAGTAAATGAAGATAGGGCAGGCATTCATGGTCCTCTATGATTTGGCCCCATCTCACATTTCCAGATTTCCCTCACTGTGTAAAGGGCACCCCCCCATTACCTAATTAAACTGAACTAATTGCTGTTCCTTGAAAACACCCCGAACACTTGGTTACCTCGGCCTTTGCTCATGCTATTCCATGTACCTCACCTTTTCCAGCCCTATTTATCCAATTCCAGAATTCCCATCCTTAAAGACTCAGCTCAAATACCACCTCCATGAAGCCCTTCCTGATGCCTCCTGGCCAGAAGTAATCTCCTCTTTTTTCTGAACTTTGTCTCTCCATGTATTTTTACCTCCTACCTTGTATCATGGTAGTCAGGGTACTTTTCTGATATTCTGATAACTAAACTTGACAGGGACTAGACCTCATATCCTCCAAGGTGGCTGACATATAACAAGTGCCCAAAAACTATATGTTAAATTAAAAGTACTTCATTCCACTACTGTAGATGCCTTCAAAAAGACAGGCTCTGAGTGCTGCTTGTAAGAGGCAGAACAAAGGCATGATGGGACAGAGAAAACAGGGTATGTACTAAAGATGGAAAGCTGGGTAAGTGATAAAAAGCCTTTTAAAGACATGTCTGGATTTATAGTGAAGTTCTCCACTTAAATTGTTTTCAAATGACTAGTATGGAAGTTCCATCCCTATAACACTGTTATAGATTGAAACTTAAGTGACAATATGTCTGTAAACAATGCTTCACCTAATGCCTGGCTATTCAGGCATAGTCCTGTTAGCAATGCACCATTCATCAATCCGCTGGTGGCAGAGTACCTTAACTGTGGGCCCAAATCTTTCCAATTGAAAGTCTGGCACTCTAAATGTTATGCCAAGTTGCCTTTCTAGATGAATAGTACAGAAAAGAGGATCCG